TATATCCACAAATTGTTGACGGTTTGAAAGATATGCATTGATCCACTTAGTCAAAGAAAAGGGAACTCCGAGATCTATTAATGTCTTAATCAGTCTGCGGTGAGGTACCCGGTCGAATGCCTTCGACAGGTCGATGAAAACTGCATCAACCTGCGTACGGTTGTTAACGTAAGTGGCTAATTCATGGTAAAATTCAATCAACTGGGTTACCGTTGACAGGCCACTGCGGAAACCATGTTGGTTGGGGTTTAGAACATTATGCATTTCTAAGAAAGAAACGAGTTGTTTGGTTATGATATGTTCTAGTAATTTACAGGCCGTGCAAGTCATGGAGATGGGACGATTCATGGAGATGGGACGATGGGACGAAGAGTGCTAGAGCGACGATTCATTTTTGATACGAGTGCTTGCTTTCCTCCTGTAATGAACGAGCCCAGGTTGGTTAACACAGCTGGTGTCAAAGTTTATGTACGAACGCAAAAGCTGAAGGTAGTCCTGATTTTTCGAGCCTTTGAACAAGGGCGTGGGGTTTTGTAGTGTCTGAGAATAAAGAGGCACTGCAGACAAGAAGACTGTGTCCTCGGTGTTGCTTGCCCACCCCCGTAAGATGTGGAGACACACTTCATTGAAAACCTACGTGATTTACTAAGACAGGGCTTTCTGCAGAACCCCGTAGGGGGCTGTGCAGAGAATACAGGTCGACATCAAGCCTTCAGAATTCACAGGTACCATTCGACAAGAATGCTGTAGCTGGACTTGAAACAAGCCGACGTGGGAAAGTACGGAAGCCGAGAAAACAAATGTGTCGGCCAAGCCGCAGCAAGGACGTCCCAGCACGACTGCAGACAGCGTTAACCTGGCTGTGCAAAGTGACCACCGTAACACAGAATGGACGTCCCTCGGAGACAAATGGCAGACTTTTGCTTTCAGACAGAAACAACGCCTGCGTTCAAATTTTGGCCGTCAAGGGAAAAGGGACGTAGCTTGAGGGTTCAAACTGAACAGGTAGCAAGCTAGAAGGTTACTCGTGCTTCAGTTTAGCTCATCTTGCGCCAGAAAGTGCAGAAGGGGACAAAATAGAAAGTGTGGGGCCAGTTGTACTGTAGGGGCATGTCTACAAAAAGCTCCGTAGGGTTGTGTGGAGGCCCTCTTGCAGCACAGATGTGTATTTGTCCTCACCGTCTCTGGAAAAGACGACCATAACACAGAATGAACGTCCCTCGGAGACAAAAGGCAGACTTTTTGTATTCCGCAGTAACCATGCCTGCGTTCAAATTTTGGCCGTCAAGGGAAAAGGGACGTAGCTTGAGGGTTCAAACTGAACAGATAGCAACCTAGAAGGTTACTCGTGCTTCACTTTAGCTCATCTTGCGCCAGAAAGTGCAGAAGGGGACAAAATAGAAAGTGTCGGGCCAGTTGTACTGTAGGGGCATGTCTACAAAAAGCTCCGTAGGGTTGTGTGGAGGCCCTCTTGCAGCACAGATGTGTATTTGTCCTCACCGTCTCTGGAAAAGACGACCATAACACAGAATGAACGTCCCTCGGAGACAAAAGGCAGACTTTTTGTATTCCGCAGTAACCATGCCTGCGTTCAAATTTTGGCCGTCGAGGGAAGAGGGACGTAGCTTGAGGGTTCAAACTGAACAGATAGCAACCTAGAAGGTTACTCGTGCTTCACTTTAGCTCATCTTGCGCCAGAAAGTGCAGAAGGGGACAAAATAGAAAGTGTCGGGCCAGTTGTACTGTAGGGGCATGTCTGAAAAAAGCTCTGTAGGGTTGTGTGGAGGCCCTCTTGCAGCACATATGTGTATTTGTCCCTTCCCCAACAATTTGATAGTTGTACGTACCTACCGGGTGAAACAAGGAGACGGTAGGCTCTTTAAATCGACCGGAAAATTCGGTTTCTTAACCTATCACGCTACGACTTTGCGCTGCGTTGCCCACAGATGGTGCATTTTTTTTTGTAAAATTTGCAAAGAGCGAACTTACCTGAGGAAAAAGTAAAGAAAGAAAAAGGCTTAGCTCCTATGGAAACTCAGCGACGCCACCGGTCTGCAATCAACACGGCACCGTTTTGCAGGGTAGACAAGAGATGGCGCAACGAACGCCGCCAACGAACGAGCATACGGGCGCCGAGAGCCGGCCGAGGTATTCCTCAAAGGCTCTTTAGCAGACGATCTTTTCGACTCAAAAGCGGCGCGCGTTCCGCAGGCGGCGACAGTCGCAGAAACAAAAAAGACAGGCGTGGTAACAACAAGGAACTGCAGTTCCTTGTCTGCTAATTACGCCGGCTCTCGGCGTCGTCTGCTCATTCGTTGGCGGCAGTTGGCGTCGCGTCCGCTTGCGCCATCTCTTGTCTACCGTGCAAAACGGCGCCGTGTTGATTGCAGACCGGTGGCGTCGCTGCGTTTCCATAGGAGCTAAGCCTTTTTCTTTCTTTACTTTTTCCTCAGGTAAGTCCGCTCTTTGCAAATTTTACGAAAAAAATGCACCATCTGTGGGCAACGCTGCACAAAGTCGTAGCGCGATAGGTTAAGAAACCGAATTTTCCGGTCGATTTAAAGAGCCTACCGTCTCCTTGTTTCACCCGGTATAATGGTTTTCTAATTACGAGCGAGCGGCAGCTCTTTGAAGTCTTGCTCGCGCTCTGGTGAGCCTTCAAACGACTAGCCGCTCCGCCGAGCGCGCGCCGCACGAGATGAATGAATTAAAATAATCTCGCGCGCATAGCGAACGTTCCTTTTACCCGAGGGAGCGCTTCAGAACAAAAAAGCAAATTGTGGTAGCAAATGATGAAGCGGTGAGCAATATCGAACCTGAAAATGACTGCTTTCGTGCGGGAAGTCGCATCAGTGCTCGTACAGTAATCTATCGACTCGATCCGAGGTAAACTACAGTCGTCGGGTCTTCTACGGAACGCGTGCTCACGTTTGACACCAACATCGCGGCTCGGAAACGAAAATTCAGCCTCGGAGGTCCGAACACGGGTTCGGAAATCAGAATTGGCCGCCATGACCATGCCCACGGTAAAAGCGTCGTAGCTTCGCGAAAGCTTTTATTTCACACGTTCAAAGTGGTGTCCATAGAGTCTAGAAAGAACAAGGAACACATCGGTGCTAGCGGTGATGAGATACGACCAGTATTAATGAAGGAAGTGTCTATTCTGCAGGCAGCCGGCAGAATAGCCGGGGGGAGAAAAAGTGCCGGCAGTAGTCGCCTATTGGGTCTCGTATAAAACGGATTGTAAACACTCCTATTCCGAGCTGTGGAGTAGCTCAGTGGGTAAGATGTGCGCTTCCTACACAGCAGGATGTTAGTTCAATCCCCCGAGAGAATTTGTTTTTTTTTTTTTCTTCGGACTTTTGTTTTTTGTTGAGGTATTAGGCGATATTTACGGCATCTCTCTTTTAGAATTAACACTACAAAAAGAACACGCAAAAAAAAAAAAAAAAAAAAAAACCAGAAATCAGCCGAGTTCTCCGAGCGGTTTTAATAGGTCGATAAAACAACTTTTGCGTTTGCTATCTCGAAGAAATTTGACACACAAACAGTCCTACCTGGTGCGAGACCCTTCCCCAACAATTTGATAGTTGTACCTATAATTGTTTTCTAATTACGAGCGGGGGCGGCAGCTCTTTGAAGAATATCAATCCACTCGTGCTCGGGAGACCGTCCCTGTTGATCGAAAAGTCTCGATTGAGATGAGCTGACACGGTTTCACTGCACACACATTTTCCTACGATGTTGTTTTCACGACCACGATCGATGAATGCACTCCAGCGGTCTTGAATATTCACGGGTGAACGATTGAACTTGGTCGGGGTTTTTAATCTCCAAGCAGAGTCCCAAAAACCTGTTTTCGCGAGTATAACGAGTTCTAGACGAGCTGGAGCGATGAAAATTTAACAGTGCGTCTAAATTCAGAGCGCGATCATTCGCTGCGAATTAGAACCTTCCAACTATCGTAGTTTTCTTTATACGAGGATATGCCAAATCACAACACCACAGAATGAAGCCTTACACGTAAACTTTTTAATCAACACTTTCTTATTAGATTAGCTACATCGATGAGACGCGCCTATAATGTTCCTCGGAACATCCCACTCGCCTGGTTACAATAAATGACCCAGCTAGCACTTGTGGATTGATATACTTGAATACAAAGTACAGAGATACAAAAAAAGAAGAGAAAACGCAAGTTCAAAGGCTGTATAGATAATACAACGCCGCTGACAGCGTCTTGCAATAAGCGCAACAGAGAACATTAAAAGAATGCATGTGCTCGCTTTTGGGCGAGCACACACATAAAAAAACACATTTCTTTTTTTTTTTTTTTTTCACGATTACCATTGGAAACAATCAAATTTCTGAATAACACTGATAAGGTACTTACTTCGTTTCCGCAGGTGTGCACAGCAGGGGCCTCTTTGTCCGTTTAACCTCAGATTGTTATATTATATTAAAAACGCAACACCAGGTAATCCGTAAAATGGGAGAGCGGAACAGGGGAAAATTGTAATGTAATAGCCCACAACAAAGTTGGGAGGAGTGGCAGTAGTGGGCAAGAGGAAAATTAAAACACCATGCAAAGGGTTACACATCAAACAAACGCTCCATCGACTGCAAAACATTGTCAGATACAAATCTGCGATGAGGTAGGCTGTTTCATTCTGTTATGGTTCTGGGAAAAGAGTATTTAAATGCATTTGTAAGCAGATCAAGACCCTATGGCATCGGGAAGTATTTAAATTCTTTTTTTTTTATATTTGGTTTTTATTCATTTACACTGCAGGCCATTTCCAATCCCCAAGCAGGGTGCGACGAGAAGGAACAAAAAAATAACAGTAAACCGACAAATCTGGTACACTGGAGATCACAAAAAGAAAGAAGAAAAAACACAAGTTCAAAGGCTATGTATAGATATAACATAACGCCGCTCATAGCGTCTTGCAATAAGCTCAAACATAAGAAAGAAGAATTTATGTCCTCGCGCTTTTTTATTTTTCACGATTACCACGGGAAAAAATCAAATCTCTGAACAAACTGATAAGGGACTTACTTCGTTTCCGCAGGTGTGCACAGCAGGGGCTTCGTCCTCACCAGCAAAACACAAAACAACAGATTTTTCCTTTTTTACCTCACATTTTAATAACCTCACACTTTATTAGGCCGACAATGCAAGTTTGCAGACGAGAGCTGTCTCGATGAAAACACACTTGTTCCTATTCAGTGAATTCGCACGAGCTAACACGATTTCATAAAAACACTTTTTGCTTGGAGCAAGTTCTCAGTTGCCATTCAAGCGGTCTTGATTAAGCACAGGTCATCCGCAGCTGAAGGAGGTCACTTGAAACGGAGGGCCAGCCGTGCAACTCGCTCTTGCGCTGCACAAAAAGACAATCTTTAGCGCCCTACATTAAAGATGCACCGAACGTTCTTACGCCACACACATATATTTTTTTCTTTTCTTCCGTGCGTCAGAGAGTGATGAAACGTTTGAGTTCGTAGAGGCCGGCTTCCTAGCTCGGCGCCGCCGAATTCCGTGTTTCGCGTGAAAAGAACAAAAGAATTCGTGCAAGAAGTCGGCTCCAACGGTCGCCCAGGAGACAAAGGAGCTGTAGCAGACGGCAGAGGTTCGGGGAAAGCTCACGCCACTAGCAAAGCCTGGACAAAAAGAACAATTAGCGCCTTAGTTTGCGATTAAATAAGCTTCTGTACGCGCTTAATTAATACACAAAGTCGCGCTTTCCCACACGGCCAATGCATCAATTTCTATTTCCACGAGGCTCCCCTGCTCCTTCAAAAAATCGCCAAAAATCAACAATTCGTGCTACAAGTCCCTGCTTCGGACGATAGGTAGCGAACAATTAGCGCCTTAGTTTGCTATTAAATAAGCTTCTCTACGCGCCTAATTAATACACAAAGTCGCGCTTTCCCACACGGCCAATGCATCAATTTCGATTTCCACGAGGCTCCCCTGCTCCTTCAAAAAATCGCCAAAAATCAACAATTCGTGCTACAAGTCCCTGCTTCGGACGATAGGTAGCGAACAATTAGCGCCTTAGTTTGCTATTAAATAAGCTTCTCTACGCGCCTAATTAATACACAAAGTCGCGCTTTCCCACACGGCCAATGCATCAATTTCGATTTCCACGAGGCTCCCCTGCTCCTTCAAAAAATCGCCAAAAATCAACAATTCGTGCTACAGGTCCCTGCTTCGGACGATGGGTAGCGAACAATTAGCGCCTTAGTTTGCTATTAAATAAGCTTCTCTACGCGCCTAATTAATACACAAAGTCGAGCTTTCCCACGCGGCCAATGCATCAATTTCGATTTCCACGAGGCTCCCCTGCTCCTTCAAAAAATCGCCAAAAATCAACAATTCGTGCTACAAGTCCCTGCTTCGGACGATAGGTAGCGAACAATTAGCGCCTTAGTTTGATATTAAATAAGCTTCTCTACGCGCCTAATTAATACACAAAGTCGCGCTTTCCCACACGGCCAATGCATCAATTTCGATTTCCACGAGGCTCCCCTGCTCCTTCAAAAAATCGCCAAAAATCAACAATTCGTGCTACAAGTCCCTGCTTCGGACGATAGGTAGCGAACAATTAGCGCCTTAGTTTGCGATTAAATAAGCTTCTGTACGCGTTTAATTAAAACTTGAAAACACGCCGCCCGTCACGCGCGATGCCGGCGTTCGCTTTTCCAGGAGGGTTAAACACACTGCTTTTTTCTTTAGGTAATAATAAAAGTAGATAGAGATTCTTAATTTCGTGTGCCGTGAGGCAAACGTGTGCGCTAAGAGCACAGAAAAAGAGACTGTTCTAAAGGTAGGAGTTCACTTTTATTTTTAATTTTTGCCTGATCTTAGACGATCGAATCGCGGCTCGAGCGCGCTTCGGACTCTCCCCCTTCACCTGCTTCACTCGCTATCGCAACGAGAAATACTCTTACGCACATCGAAGTATATATTTTCCGAAAGGTAATGAAATTGTGCAATAGGTGTAAAAATTATTTGATTTTAAACGGAATTATTCTTCTTCATATTTCGATCTAACCAGCCAAACTAGTTTTCGGGCGCTCTGGGTGGCTGGTCGATTTAAGTTAAAAAAAGGTAATAATAAAAGTAGATAGAGATTCTTAATTTCGTGTGCCGTTAGACAAACGTGTGCGCTAAGAGCACAGAAAAAGAGACTGTTCTAAAGGTAGCAGTTCACTTTTATTTTTAATTTTTGCCTGATCTTAGACGATCGAATCGCGGCTCGCGCGCGCTCCGGACTTTCCCGCTTCACCTGCTTCACTCTCTAACGCAACGAGAAATACTTTTACGCATATCGAAGTATATATTTTCCGAAAGCTAATGAAATTCTCCAATAGGTGTGAAAAGCACTTGGTTTTAAACGAATTATTCTTCTTTTTTTTGCTGAAAAACTCAAATCACTTTCGTTTGGCAAATAATCAAAAACTCGAAATTAAAGGATAGTATAATGGACGTACACTTACCCCAATGTGTCGAACGAAAGGAGGCCCTTTGACGAAGGCAGGAAGCGTGAGGCGACGTTCGGGGTCCGAAGAAGAAGAAGACCGATTTCGGAACAAAGAACAAAGAAGGAGCTGGACACGGGCGACTACGCGACTGCTCCCGAGCACAACGGAAACCACACTGGGGCCGGCCTCTGGGAACAAAGGAAAGCGGAGGAGGATGAGCGAGGAGGAGAGGGAAAGAGAAGGAAAAAAGTCGGGAAGGGGATCGCGCCGCCTGGTGGAGGGCAGACACACCACTCGCATCGGGTATTTTTTTCTTTATTATTTTGTTTATTTTTTGCACTATTTATTAAGGGAAGCATTCTCGTTGATCTCCCTTCATTAATACTGGTCGTATCTCATCACCGCTAGCACCGATGTGTTCCTTGGTCTTTCTAGACTCTACGGACACCACTTTGAACGTGTGAAATAAAAGTTTTCGCGATGCTACGACGCTTTTACCGTGGGCATGGTCATGGCGGCCATTTCTACTTTTAGAAACCTTTGTTCGGACCTCCGAGGCTGAATTTTCGTTTCCGAGACGCGATGTTGGTGTCAAACGTGAGCAGGCGTTTCGTAGAACACCCGACGACTGTACTTTACCTCTGATCGAGTGGATATTTTACTTTACGAGCACTGATGCGACTTTCCACAGGAAAGCACCAATTTTCGGGTTCGATATTGCTCAGCCCTCCTCCCTCGCACGTTTTCTTGAGAAAATTGTTTTTGTTTCTTGTTTAGCAACGGCCAGTGCACCTTTCGAAAGTTATTAGAAAACTTTATCTGCTCTGGATTTTAAATAAAGACACACCTGGGTCCTGTAGCCGAAAGATTTTTTTTCTAAGCTTTGGAACCTCCTTTCGTAAAGGTATGCCTACTGAAATTTGAGGCCTCTGGTACCTTGCTACCTGTGAAGTTTCAACCCTCTGGATCCATCCGTTTTTCTCTGACGGCCAAAATTTGAATGCAGGCCTGTCTTAGTAAATCACGTTCAGGGGCTCTGGAAGCGGGGGGGGGGGCAGGGTGGGCTTGAGCCCCTCCTGTCCTCAGGACCGAGCTGCCGAGCCCCCCCTCCCCCTCCCTCTTTTTTTTTTTTTTTTTAGTTTGTGTGTTTGCAGGTTATCTGGTATGGGCCTTCGGCCTATTTCCTGTACCTCCGTCTCTCCTGAGCCGAAATAAATGAAATGACTCTTTATACATGCTGACCTACCGCCCTCCTCACCTCCGCCAAGCACAAAAAGCACCGGGGCGACGGAGAGGCTTGCTTGAAAAGTCAAAACCAGAAGAAAATGACAGGCAGGACTCATGAGCCTGATTGACAACCAGTTTAGAGCGAGCAAAGAGGAGACAGCGAAATGAATGGATTCCGACAAGACGACGTCGGCCAGCGTTTGTCTGCTTCCCCCGTGTGGAAGCAAGAAGCCCAGAAGATGCATGGTGCTTCTGGCCCGCGGACAAAACAGGCAGGCGCTTAAAGGCCATCATTAGGAAAAGGGGGAGGGGGGGTCTGGTGAGCTTGAGTGGGGATTCGGGAGTGCTTAGAAAAGGCGAAAGTCTACGAGCTCCCAAATTTGACAAGGCGCCTTTGATGGCGAAAGCTTTGCGCGCATGCGGCGTCGTGCCCGCAGGGTGGTGAGGCATGAGGCGACACATGTTTACAAACTAAGGACAACACAACACGAAGTCTGAAACACAGCTATTATCCTTCAGTACTCTCCTTTTGTGATGCCCCCCAACTTGTATTGACGCCAGGAGTCCGAAGCGATCACGGTCGATGTACTTGATCCCGAGGTACATACCGATGTATGCAACCTCTGCTTCCAGTTAAGACATCCGATGGCCCAACTTGCTGTGTTTGAGACTCCGTGTTGTGTTGTCCTTTTTTCCCCCGAGTTTCGGGGTTTTGTCTAAAACTTTTAACACTTGTTTGTCTACGTCTGCGTTAATACATCATGCTTCCCCGAGAATCCCTAAATGAAGGAAGGTTTTCATTTTTAGACATAGCCAATTTGGCATAGGCACAGCTGCGGTTGACATGTAACAGTTGGTATAGGAAAGAAAAAATAAAGAACACATGGTGCGGCTGATTTCAGTGGTTCTCCAATCATTGTATGAGTTGTCAGTGCAAGCTTCTTACTGTTATTTTACTGAACCATTGTTTTAATTTGTTTTCCATGGATATGTGCGTGAATATGCGAACGCGGTGCATTAATATGTTTTCATTCAAATGTGGCAATTAATGTCAACCTGAAACCAACCTAACCTTGAGGATTTCGGAGATGTCGAGCCCCCCCTCTAAAGAAAGACTTCCGGAGCCTCTGATCACGTTTGTTTTGATTAAAGTGTGTCTCCACATGTTACGGGGTGTGGGCTCTGTAGGGTTGTGTGGAGTCCCTCTTGCAGCACAGATGTGCATTTGTCCTCACCGTCTCTGGAAAAGACGACCATAACTCAGAATGAACGTCCCTCGGAGACGAAAGGCACACTTTTGGTTTGGCGCAGAAACAACGCCCGCGTTCAGATGTTGGCCGTCAAGTGAAAACGGACTTAGCTTGAGGGTTCAAACTGCTCAGATAGCAACCTAGAAGGTTACTCGTGCTTCAGTCGAGCTCATCTTGCACCAGAAAAAGCACAAGGGGGGAAAATAGGAGTGTGGGAGCGGTTGTACTGTGGCGGCATGTCTAGAAAAAGCTCAAAAGTGATTTGTGGAGTCCCTCTTGCGGCACAGATCTGTATTTGTCCTCACCGTCTCTGGGAAAGACCACCTTAACAAAAGAATGGACGTGAAAGTGAGGCAAAGGGCGTAGTTTTGCTTCGAGGTAGAAACAGCGCCTGCGTTCAGATGTTGGCCGTCAAGTGAAAACGGACTTAGCTTGAGGGTTCAAACTGAACAGATAGCAAGCTAGAAGGTTACTCATGCTTCAGTCGAGCTCATCTTGCACCAGAAAAAGCACAACGGGGCAAAATAAAGAGTGTGGGGCCAGTTGTACTCTAGGGGCATGTATACAAAAAGCTCTGCAGGAACAAACCTTTTCCCGAGGTGGACAGCAGGGGCCTGAAGACATAAATAAAAAAGAAGTGACACATTTAACGAGTCTTCACTGCGCCAGAAAAACAAGAATCAGCTCATTTCTTTTTGAGACCTCAGACTTTATTTAGGCCAAGAATGCAATTTTTCAGACGAGCTGTCTCAATGTAAAAACACACTTCCTTATTAGTACCCTTTTGACACACAAACAGTCCTACCTGGTGCGAGACCCTTCCCCAACAATTTGATAGTTGTACGTACCGATAATGGTTTTCTAATTACGAGCGAGCGGCAGCTCTTTGAAGTCTTGCTCGCGCTCTGGTGAGCCTTCAAACGACCAGCCGCTCCGCCGAGCGCGCGCCGCACGAGATGAATGAATTAAAATAATCTCGCGCGCATAGCGAACGTTCCTTTTACCCGAGGGAGCGCTTCAGAACAAAAAAGCAAATTGTGGTAGCAAATGATGAAGCGGTGAGCAATATCGAACCTGAAAATGACTGCTTTCGTGCGGGAAGTCGCATCAGTGCTCCTACAGTAAACTATCGACTCGATCCGAGGCAAACTACAGTCGTCGGGTCTTCTACGGAACGCGTGCTCACGTTTGACACCAACATCGCGGCTCGGAAACGAAAATTCAGCCTCGGAGGTCCGAACACAGGCTCGGAAAGTACAATTGGCCGCCATGACCATGCCCACGGTAAAAGCGTCGTAGCATCGCGAAACCTTTTATTACACACGTTCAAAGTGGTGTACGTAGAGTCTAGAAAGACCAAGGAACACATCGGTGCTAGCGGTGACGAGATACGACCAGTATTAATGAAGCGAGATCGAAGAAAGGATCGGTGCCTAAAGTGAGGAAAGCGAATGGCTGGCTTCGATGTGAAAACTTTCAAACGCCGTTTATTTCGCGAAACTCGCATCACACAAGAAAAGAAATCGGTCTCTGTCCAGTCCAGGGGCGGCTGGGAACAAGTGTCCCCCATTTGATATCGTAAATTCAAGGTCGTAATATAGATATCAGAAATTCAATATTTTCAATGGTAAAACAAAAGGCACCAAGTGGCGGGATTTACCGACCGGTCGGAATTGCTCAGCCGCACTCATGGATCCATTCATTCGAAACGGGTCATCTATCTATTCATTCATAAAAAATGTAATTCCTGGCCGTGTTTTAAAATTAACGAAATCATACTGCGAGGTAAAGCTTCTGTACACCTGGCGTTTTGAAACCTGCCTGCGTCCAGCGTTCTTTCATTTCTGCTGTCACGTGACACGATCCGCCCGAGTAACTCGGGTTTATTAGGGTGAGATTTGAAACACAGCCCTGGTTTAATAACACAAAGCTTAGAATTACGGGAATCGTCTTATTTTTGAAAACGAGACCCGTGTTCCACAACAAGTTTAAATTATTTAGGTCAAGTATTTAGAAATTTACCGCCCATTCGTGGTTCTTGTTTTGGTTTTTGCAAAAAAAGCAAATGGCTGCCGCGTGTTTTGCTCGCAACCGGAGGTGATTCAATCGCACGAAGCTCGGAAAGTAGGCTAGCTAGGACATTTATTTTAACCAGGGAGTAAGATTATGTTCCGAGGAACATTCGAGGCGCGTCTCATCGATGTAGGTATTCTAAAAAGAAAGTTATCAACAGAAGTTTACGTGTAAGTAAGGCTTTCACTGTACGATGTTTTGATTTCACATATGCTCGTATAAAAACACTACGATAGCTAGAAAGTTCTAATTCGCAGCGAATGATCGCGCTCTGAATTTAGACGCACGGTTAAAATTTCATCGCTCCAGCTAGTCTAGAACTCGTTATATTCGCGAAAACAGGTTTTGGGACTCTGCTCGGAAATTAACAAGCCCGACCAAGTTCAATCGTTCGCCCGTGGATATTCAAGACCGCTGGAGTGCATTCATCGATTGTGGTCGTGAAAACAACATCATAGGAACATGTGTGTGCAGTGAAACCGTGTCAGCTCATCTCAATCGAGACTCATCGATCAACAGGGAGGGTGTCCCGAGCACAAGTGGATGGATATACTTCAAAGAGCTGCCGCTCGCTCGGAATTAGAAAACCATTAAGCTATCCGATTGTCGGGAAAGCGTGTCGCACCAGGTAGGAGTGTTTGTGTGTCAAATTTCTTCGAGATAGCAAACGCAAAAGTTGTTTTATCGACCTAATAAAAGCACTGTCAGTACTCGGCTGATTTCTGGTGTTTTTTCTGTTTTTTTTTTGTTGTTTTTAGAGCGCAGCTCTTAGGGGCCCGTTTCCAGCCTGAGCGGCGTCGCCGTTGGCGTCGGCGTCGCTGTCGCCGTCGCCGTCGCCGTCGGCGTAACCGCGCCCCTCCCTCTCC